GGATAGAATTTTCTTCAGGCATAAGACATGATCCATTAAGAGGTAATATTTTCATATACAAGTATTGTGTTATTTCTTTGAGTCATTCAACAGTTGTCTGTTTCTGGACAAGAGTAATATTGATGATTCTCAAAAAGATGGGAGAAAGTCACCTGCCATCGCTCCTTGGTCAAGAAACACCAATATCCCTGTTACTCATGGGAGTTTCTGTGCCTGTGAGGTATGGTGGAACAGGGAAAAATACCAAACAGGTTAAGAACCACTACTGTAAGAAAAGGAGGCTAGAGAGATCCTTTATAAAGTACTATCAATCTCTGCCCTATCCACAGTCTTTGCAGTGTACAAGGGCATAACTTCAATTCTAATAAAGTTAAGGTAGATTGAAAGTAGGAAAGGGGAGAAGAATGAAATCAGTTTTTTTCCAGGGAAGTTTTATTAATTGTAGAAATTAGTCAGAAGCCAATCTTTTCTACCAAAAGAAAAAAAAAAGAGAATTAAGATAAACTGATAACCAAGTGACTTGTGAGGGTAGACTTGAGAATCAGTGGAAAATTGCTGACAGGTAGGCCACAAAGTTGAAAAGTGTGAAATAATAGTTTGAGGTAGACAAAGTATGAGGTATACCAGAAAGATGTTAAGTATGAGAATACTCTAAGTCAGCTAGAGAAATTTATGGGGCAAAAAGTCAGTTCTTTTGGCACAGCCAAGGCAGTCAGCAAGATCAGGAGAGATGCGACTGTGTCTTTGTACCTCATTGTCTTGGTGGCTACAAGGTCAAAGGCAATGTTCTAAAATACACAGAGTGCCCTGAGACTTGTATTTGGGTGAAGGGAAACAGAAAGAGATCATACTTCTTTGAGAGAAGGCCCTAAAAATAAATGTGAGGAGAGTAAAGAACTTTCTGGAGGTATTTGATAGGCAAACATCCAAATTCCTAAGTGAAGAGAAGGTAGAGCATGAAAACTTTTTTGAGGGCAAAGTTAATGGCAACAGTTGTACTTATTAGGGTGATGAGATGATGAAAAACTACAAAGGACGTCTAAGAATCTTCACCAATTGGTGAGGTCCAACATTATAACTAAGCAGCAGACAATAGATCAGTGATAAAAATAAAGTCCAGAACTAATAAGTTACTTTAATAATGATGTTAAAGCCTTGCTACTACTAAGTGTGTGATACACCCACCAGTCACCTGGGCATCATTTCAGATTTTGTTAGAAATGAATACAATCAGTGCCCCCTCCCCCCCAAGGTCTACTCAAATCACAACCAAACAAGATAGCTGGGTGACTAGTGTGCACACTGAAGTTTGAGGAGCATTGATCTCCTTCATTAGGGATTAGGAAAACTTCACTAATGCCACATGAAGACGACCGTGTTTTGCATATTAATTAATACCATCTCTGCCTAAGTTAATTAAGTAAAGCAATAATTTTTAAGTAACTTATTTTCAGTGACTTTTCATTGTTTATCTATTCAAAGATTTATCTGAGATATTGGCAAATGCACTAGTCGCACCCTTCCCTAATCCTGCCTACCCCTAAATGTGGATGTAATTTCAATATATGACTTAGAGCCCAGCTACAAACCCCAATTTAAAAACCAGTGTTTTAAAGAATCCCAGGCACTCTTTTACAAAATTATTAATTAGAAACCACCTGAATTCTTGTGGACCCGATCCACCATCCAGCTGCTACCCTAGGGCCTAGCAAGGTTTCCTCTGATACAGATTTGAAGACACAGACATGTGTTACACAATCAGTGCCCTGAACAGGACTGTGCTGATTTAAGAATTTCTAGGCAACGAAGTTCTGCAGATACCAAGATGACAAGTACACAACTGCAGTCAACTGGAATTACCGCTTAAACATTTCACTTATAGATATTGAGACATTTTGGTGGTATTATCAATGGTCTCCAAGTTCTTGTTTACTAAATCATAATCCTCTAGATTACCACATGTCTAGTATTTACTGAGCATTTATTATGTGCTAGGAAACTATTCCTCCCCGCCCCCATATACCTCTGTCTCTTTCTTTCTCCTTACAATAACTTTGTAGGGTAGGTATTTTTGTTCCTCATTTGCTAATGTGGAAACTGACCCTTTAGTGAGTTTTAAAAAATTCTCCAAAATCATAGCGAAAAAGTAAATGAAAACTAGCAGAGCCTGAACTCAAACCTAGATCTAAATTATTGCAAAGCTCGTGTTTGTATCTGCCAAGGTAAAGACTACAGAAGTCTTTAGAATAAATTCTTCAGAAAAAAATTCTGCAAAACCAACTCCATTTCACTATAAAATGAAACATTTCATCTGAACCTTTTTTTAAAAAAAAATTTCTACAGTCCCTCAAAATAAGTTGGCTCATATAGATTGAGTAAAGTTGGGGGGAAGTTGTTTTATTTTTTAAATTAGATGATGTCTTCTGTAGCAGCTGATGAGTCCATGAAGTAAAGCAAAGAGCTGCATCAAACACCTCCAAGTCCATCAATTCTAAACTGGCTCATCTCCGCTGACGTGACTTCATCAAAGATTGCTTGCTTACCTGTGGGGCTCCGATACCGTAATCACAGCATGAACCATGTAGCCCAAATTCTATAATAACAACAGCCTTTCTGGGTCAACAGCCTGGAGTCCTACTCCACAGCCAAGTAATTTCATCACCATTTGATAAGGCAAATAGGGAGAGTAAGAACATTAGTATTAATGTGCAAAAAAGCCTGCTAGAGGAATGCTTTTAAGATATGCCCTTGACTCTGTGAGGTACTCTCAGTCTTTATTTTCTCTAATAATTATTATTCATGCCGCATTTAAAAAAGGGTACACTATGTTTACTGAAGCCGCCTGTTAGGCTGAAATGGTGAAAGGGAAGGAGAGAGAGCGAAAGGGTCCACCTGCATCTGCAAACACTCTCCTAGGAGTTTAAACCTTAAATGACCCTACAGGAGACTGTTTTGAAACTCTGACAGAACATTCTTCCCTTTCCTAATAATAATACTGATCCTCTTCCATTGGCATAGTGCTGAAGAGTTTGCAAAGGTCATTTAAGGTGTCATGTGATCCTCACACCAACCTGGAAACTCTTCCTTTTTTTTTTTTTTTATAGAAAACTAAAGTTTGGAGAGGTTATGCGTTAATTTCCCAAGGTTGTGCAACTCTTAAGTGACAAAGTTTTCTGAAATTAGGTTTCCCAAACTCAGATCTCTTGCTGCCTCCCAACTTGTAATCCGACAAATGTTTAGTTTAAAATTGGAAAGTATTCCAGCCTTATCTCCAAGGTTCTCTGTATTGGGTTGTCACATCTGTAATTTGATTCAAATAAACAAGCACATATTGAATTTATATTAAGGTTCAATGAATACAAAGATGACAAATACAAAAGAAGATGCATAAACCATAAACTGCAATCCAAGTTACTCCCTTACTGTAGCCATCATACCTTCCTTAAAATGTGTGTGAATGTATAAATGTAACAAGTATTGCACAGTACATTTTAAGTTGGTAAATTGTATGGTATGTGAACTAAATATCAATAAAGCTGCTACTAAGAAAGCCAAAAAAAAAAATCTTGTTAAGGAGGAGGTTCTTGTCTTCTAAAAAGCTAAGATAATTACAAAATTATTAACCATGGATCTTGGACCTGATTTTTGATGATACAGTCTCAACACTTTGAGATACCGTTATTGAACAAAATTATTAACCTATAATCAATAAGCACCTGATCAAAGTTACAGCTGTTTTCCTTGTAGCAGTCCTAATTTCATTGTGTTTCAAACAAGTATTAAACTTTTGAGCATCACATTTCTAAACATAAATATTGCACTTACACCTCTCAAATTAATGCTTATTTTTACAAGTAAAGGTAACAAAATACCCAATAGTTGCACAAATGTTACTATGTAAGCCCACTTCTAGGCCCTGCTCAGGGGCATTCAGCATCTAGGGGCTGAATACATTACATATTTGTTGAATAAGTGCAAAGACCATTTCCTTTGCACAGACTATAAGTTCATAGAGGATAGGCCCCCTAGGCTGGTTCATGATTCTGTCTCCAATCCTAAACATAATGTGAGCGCTCAAAGAATATTTATAGAATTTTAAAACTGAGAACTCTATTTCCCTTGCCTTAGATTGTATGATTCATATTTATTGAGAGTGAACTTTCTGGTGAAGAGCCTTGCCAGCAGTATCCTGTGCTAGCTCTGGCCAGATTTTAACCTGACTGGCCAGGGATACCATTTCCAAGTCCACGCAGAGAAATACGTGGACCGATACGACTCATCCATCCTCTCAATGTGGTCTGCTTTAGTACATGAACTGCTGTAAAGTCTCCTGCATCTGAGCATTGTCCTACAAGTAAGCTGTTCACTATGATCCTGCCACTTAGACCACCTGATTAAAAATGCCTGCACTTCTTAGGGCTTTTAAATACTTTGAGAAATTTACTTTCTACAGTGTGGAAATAAGTTTGAGAACTAAACTGTTCACAACAATTAGTGTTTTTATGTTGTTGTTGTTTTTTTCTGGTGATAAGGGATTAATATAGAAAATATATAATGAACTCATACAACTTAACACCAAAAAAACAGTCTGATTGAAAAAATGGGCGGAGGATCTGAATAGACATTTCTCAAAAGAGGACATACAGATGGCCAGTAGATACATCAAAAGATGCTCAAGGTCACTAGTCATCAGGGAAATGCAAATCAAAACCACAATGAGATATCACCCCACACCTGTTAGAATGGCCATCATCAATAAATCAACACACAAGTGTTGGCAAGGATGTGGAGAAAAGGGAACCCTCGTGCACTGTTGGTGGGAATGTAAATTGTTGCAGCCACTATGGAAAACAGTATGGAGGCTCCTCAAAAATTTAAAAATAGAACTATCTTATGAAACAATCAATGTTTTAATGCATCAATTCCTTATATTTAGAACCAAGAAAACAAAATAACGATTTAACTAGAATGTGTGTTCTAATAAGGATATTTGTAATTACCTTCTAGTGCATATTTCATATCTTGAGCAAAAAGGGTCCACATAATTTCAGCACTTATTTTTCCCATGTTCAGTTCTTGAGGAAACCTAAAATGAAATACATATGTTAGTGTATCAAAAAGAAGAAAAACAAATTCTTAAATTCTAAAAAACAGATACCTCACTTTAATATACACACAGTAATTATTACTTAGTTCATAAATACTTTTATTTACGTGATTTGTCTTTCTGAACTTCCCGGGTTGGGGGTGGGGTGGGGGGAAAGAAAACTACACACCAGAGTGTGGTGATGAAACTACTGGGTGTCAGGAAAATAGACCCCATTACATTAGTGCCGACATAATGGTTCCTGTAGTTCCCAATGGATGGATGTCTTAGAACATGTTAGTGTCTAAAGAGACACTTCAGTTTTATCATACACTCCATCTTCATATGTCTCAGTATTGTCGGTACATCAGATGAATGCATATATGTATGTATGTATGCACATACATACAAAAGTAATATATATTAATGAACAAAATATATATATTAAAGAACAAAAATAGCACTTACATTCATTTATATTTTTGGATCCAAAACAAGAAAAGAGCAATTCAAACCTGACAGGGAAGTGTTCCCTCAGTAAATTGGACCTCAATATGACCTCAAATAAGAAATGACCACTAACACTACAAAAAAACCCAAAAAAACATTCTAGCCCAACTTTCCACCAAAAGCAAGGCATGTTTCATCAAATATCCCTTACTAACTGCCACCAATTAATTTAAATGTCGATTGATGTTTTAAAACTTAAATGCAGAAAATGTACATGTATCAAATAAACTCAGAACACTTTCTAAGATCAAAAAAATTAACACAACTTGAATATATACAAAATTAGCTTTCAGTATTAAAGTTTCCTCTACTGATACAAAAATAACCTTACACAAATAATTTATTTCAAAAGGTTTTATTTATGAATAGCTATTAACATCATACAATTTACAGCATTTTAATTTTTATGTAATAGATGTGCAGCAACAAAATTATAATTGATATGAAAGTGCTTTAAGCTCATAAAATGAGGAAATTAATTTTCTGAATCAAGAATAAAGAACATATTTATTCATTTTACAGTACCCTGATACAAAAAAAAACCCAAAAAAACATACAAAGGAAAACTAAAGAAAAATATCTCTCATAAAAACAGATGCAAATATCCTCAACAAACAATGGCAAATTCAATCCTGCAATATATAAAAAAGGGCAATACATCATGAACATGAGAAGTTTATCCCAAAAATGCAATGTTGGTTCAATATTTAAAAATGAATTAATGTCATTTACCATATCAAAAGACTAAAGAGAAAGAACTTTACCATCTCAATAGATGCAGAAAAGGTATCTGACAAACCTCAACATTCATTCATATTTTATTTTAAAAATGTGAAAACTGGCAATTAAAAAGAACTTCCTTAACCTTACAAAGAGAATCTCCAAAAATCTTTAGCTAGTATGGTACTTAATGGTCTCATAAGATCAGGATCAAGGCAATGATATTTATTCTCACTATTTCTATTAAATATTGTACTGGAGTTCCTAAAGACTGGGAAAATAAAAGAAAAAGAAATAAGAGCCATATAGACAACAAAGGAAAAAATAAAACTATTTGCAGACAACATGACTGTCTACGTAGGAATCTCCAAAAACTACAAAAAAGCTATTGAATAAATTCAGCAATGTTCCAGATACAAGGCCAAAATACAAATTATTGTATTGCTGTGTACTAGCAATGAATCATTGGAAATTGAAATTAAAATAACAGTATCATTTACAATAGCACCAAAAGTTATGAAATACTTAGGTATAAATCTAAGGATATACATATAAGAATTTATGAAGAAAATTACAAAGTATTAAACAGACATCAAATAAAACCTAAATAAATGGAAAAATATATTCATGGGTTGGTATACTTAATATTGTTAGAATGTCCATTTTTCCCAAATTGATTTATAGATTTAATGCACTCTCAATCAGAATTCCAGCAGAATTTTTTGTAGTAATTGACAAAGTAATTCTAAAATTTACATGCTAAAGCAATATAACTAGAAGAGTGAAAATAATGTTTTAAAAAAGTTGAAAGATTCACATTCTTTGTCTTCAGAGCCACAATGAAACAATAGTAATTAAAACAGTTCCTCTTCAAATACAAGGTCAATTAACTTTTAATTTGATGTGATAGTAATTCAATGGAGAAACGATAGTCCTTTTAACAAATTGTGCTGGAGTGACTGGATATCCATATGCAAAAAAAATAAATAAACCTCGAACCATACTTCACAATGTATAAAAAATTACTAAAAATGGATTACAGACCTAAATACAAAGTCTAAAATTATAAAACTTCTAAAAGAAAGCCCAGTAGAAGATCTTTATGACCTTGCATTAGGTAATGGTTGCTTAGATGTGATGCAAAAAGTGCAAGCCATGAAATAAAATATTGATAAACGGGACTTTATGAAAATTAAAATATGCTCTTCAAGAGATACTGTTGAGAAAATAGAAAATAACCAGCAGACTAAGAGAAAACAATTTGCACAGCAGAAATCTGATCAAAGACTTGTGTCCAGAATACACAAAGTACTCTCGAATCTCAATAAGAAAAAATAAATAAGCAAATGATTTGAATGACACTTCAGCAAAGAAGATAATTAAATAGAAAATAAGCACATAAAAATATGTTCGACATCATTAATCATTAGATACTTTCAAATCAAAATGATAATGTGATACCACCACATGTCTACTAGAACAGCTTAAAAACAAAACGAAACCTGACAAGGCTGACAAGGATGCAAGGATTCTGATGAGGTGGAACTCTGAAACATTGCTACTGAGAGTGTAAAATGTTACAGTCACATTGGAAAGCAGCTTGGCAATTTCTTATAAAGTTAAATATACATTTACTAGCAGTCAACTCCAGGAATTTATCCAAGATAAATTATACCAAAAGCTGTACATGTTGCTTAATTCTTAATCACCAAAACTACAATCAATGTCTTTCAGCTGATGAATGAATAAACTGTAGTAGATTCATAAAATGGAATATATTAAGCAAAAGAAGGAATAAACCACCAATATATGTAACACTATGAAAGAGTATCAGATAAATTATGCTAAGGGAAAGAAGTTGGACTAAAAAACCAACCTACCATATGATTCCATTTATAATACATTATTGAAAAGCCAAACATATAGGGACATAAAACATATCAGTGGTTGGCAGGAGGTTGGGGTTAGGAGAGGGACTGACTATAAAGGAGCATGAAGAAACTTTGGGGGTAATATTCTATATATTAATTTTAGTGATAGTTATTATACATGACTATGTTTTGTATTTCATTAACTTTTTGCTTTTCCTTATTTCCTACCTTCTACTTTTTTTGAGTTTAATATGTTGTTCCTTTTCTACCTTCTTAAGAAAGAGATAATTTTTGGTCTTTTTTTCCTTTCTACCATGTATAAATTTCTTTTAGAAATTTCATTTAGAGGCATCCTAAAAATTAATGTGGCATTTTCATATTTATCCAGTTAAAATATTTCACATTTTTTAATATTGAATTCTTAACTTCCAACTATTTGGGGATTTCCTACGTATCTTTTAATTGCTGTTTCCTGCCTTAATTAAACTAAGGTCAAAGAACATATTCTAAAAAAAGAAAGCCAATCTTTTGAAATTTATTGAGACTTGCTTTATATCTTATATCTTAGCACATAGTTAATTTTGGTAAATTATTTTCCATAGTCTCCTTGAAATTCATTCTGTATATTTTCTTCTGGATTATCTTCATGCTTACTAATTGTCTCTTCAGTTGTGTTTAAACTATGGTTAAACCCATACATTGGGTTATTAACTCCATTTATTGTAGTTTTCAGTCCTAGAATTTCCATTTGATCCTTTCAGTAGTTTTGAGTTCACCGCTGAGTTTTTCCATTTTGTTATTTAATTTCCTAAATATATTAATGATAGTTACTGTAACATCTGTCTCTAAATCTCACTTTATTAATCTGTTATAATGCCTGATTTTTTATTTTGTGTGTGAAAAACGTGCATTTAATTCGTGTGTTTGGATAATGTTAGTATTCTTTCAGAAAGGATTTATCTTCTACTGGGTTGGGAGAGAAATCTTAATTCCATTAGGGACTGAGCTCATTTAAAACAGGCCACTACTATATTCCTACTTACTCACAGGACGTACCCCTTCACAGGCCCAACTGTATGCTTGGGCTGTTCACCAGGGCCCACTACCTTGGTGGGGCCTGGATTCCAATTATTCTCCTGTTCTCGTATTCAGCTTTCTCAGTTTTTCAGCTATCACTTTCTTTCGGGTTTCTCATACTCTCAGACTTTGCCTCTAGGCAAATCAGTCAGTGCTTCTAGGGGAAAGAGTTGGCACATATCTAACATGTTTTTCTAGTAAATACATGCATATATCACAAAGACATAAAGAAAATTCATGGGGATAAAATATAACAGATTTATTCTAACAGTTATGTTGGGGCAAGGAACAAAGGGAATTGGATTCAGGGAGGAGTATGTACACATAAGGCACCAATTTGCAACGTGTTACTGATTTAAAAAAAAAAAAACAACCTAAAAACTTTGTAAATTTATAAGATACAAAATGAGGTAATACAATACAAATGGCTACTAATGCATTTAGCATTTAATAAATACCATTCATTAATAATTATTAATTGAAGGCCTAGCATGTGTTGTGCACTGTGTCAAGGACAGATTACACACTACTAAATAAAACAGACATGGTCCCTGCCTCTCTGAAGCTGATAACCTAGTAGGAATGGCAATAAAAATGAATATACATACATATATATATATATACATAATTTATATAAAAATTTATATAAATTGTGGTTAAGTGCCCTGAAAAAAAGAGTACAGGGTGAAAAGACAGAGATGGTTGTGGGAAACGGTTTTGTTATATCAAGGGTTAAGAGCAACTACTCCTGGTCGCGTCACAGTGGCTGTGACAGCAGCTGGTTTTCAATGGAGAATCCCTCTGTGGCCTCCACCGAAATAG